CTGTCTGGAAAAACAAACAAACAAAAACAAAAATAATTTTTTAAAGAGAATATTCAAGGTCGGGTGGGGTAAAGAGGCGGTGGGTCTGGGTGGAGTGGAAAGTGGGGGGTGAATATGATCAAAATATTCTGTACAAAATTCTCAACGATCTAATAAAACAATGATCGAAAGAAAATACTCCAATGCAACCACGTGAGATTCTCTCCTGGGTGCAAATGGCCCAGACCTCCCTGACCCGAGGGGCATTTATTCTCAGAGAGAGCCCCAGCTGGAAGACAGGTGACCTCCAGGGCCTGCCTGTTTGGACAGTGACTCCGTAGAGGATCTTTTGGTTTGTTTGGTTGGTTGGTTTGTTCTTCTAGACAGGGTTTCTCTGTGACAGCCCGGGCTGTCCTGGAACTCACAGAACGGAGCATCTCTAGAATAACTGCTAAGGGAGGTTAAACTATGCCCAGGCATTCGTGGGGCGGGGGCTCTGTATGAAGTAGATAAAGTACTCCCCTGTCTCTGAACTGAGGGGTCTCCCGTGTGTATCACAGATTTCCATTCTATGCCTGACTTTTTCTGGGAAATTCAATTTACCAACCCAGAATCCTCAAGCTTCCATTTGCTGAAGAAATTTAGACTCCTGTCTGCTGGTTCTCTCAGGGTTGGATGCCTAGAGTTTGCCTCCCTTAAACCTCCACTCCACACCAGGAATTTTCCTTAAATACCAGGAATCCAAGACCGTCACTGACCCGTGTTTCCCCGTCTCGGGATCCAGCATTTCCTCCAGAAAGCGAGCTGGGGGTGGGGTGTCAGGGTGGGGGGTTGCTATGCCAACCCTGCTGTTTCCTCAGACATAACCCCGCGCTCCCTTTGTCCTGTCCTGGGTTCTAATTTAAACTCTGTCTCCTCCTTCTTCAACATGCCAGCCTCAGCCTGTACAGTGGGCACCATCCTAACTTCAATACCACAACACAGAAATGAGAATATAACCGCCCTCTCTTCCAGATAAAGGAAATCTGTGATAAAAGACTATTTTAAAATCAGAATCTTACCATGCTCTCCCCACATTCCAGCATCCCCAGGGGTCCCTCAGAGCCTGTCCCCCAGAGTGCTGGCTCTGGAGACCCCTGTCCCGCACTTACTTGGGGAGTCTCTGCCCTCGGCCCCCGGGCTGCTCAGCACCATCAGCACCGCAGCTGCTGCAAGGAGGATGCTTGGGACCTGCACAGCCATCTCGAAGGAAAAGGCAATGGCAGCCACCAGGACACACACCTGCTGTGCCCTTCAGAGAACAAAAATCTGTAGATGCCTCTATGAGTACTGGAGTTGGTCCCAGGAGAGGAGCCAATCAGCACCAGAGCTGAAGCGTGTCACCTGTCTCTGGGCAGACCTTGTTTACAAAGGTTCTCTGTGCTGTGTGTGATTGTATGTTCATGGAGCCCCACTGGGTGAACATTTGAGGTGACAATTCCTCTCAGTTACAGGGTAAAGCTGTCCAAACTGCAGACTGACTGTGTTTGGGGTTTAAAGAACCAAAAGAGAAAAGCGAGTCAAGTTTACACAACTTCGGGATAGTTATTTAAGAACTACTGTTCTTATACTTGGGGGTTAGTAGGGGAATTAAAGAGAAGCCATGTATATCGGGCAGAGATTGTCCTCTGTTATGTCTGACAGTCTGAGGAGCCTCGGGTGAGAAAGCAGAGTTCTGGGGAAGTCAACAAGTCCCTGAACTTTCTAACATTGGAATTCTCTTTGTAAATATGCTCCGTACGCTGTACACCTAAATCTTCCTGTGCACACAGTAAAGAATGATGTACCGTGGTTAATAATGAGAACTGCCATGTACGAGTGTTGGAAACAGCAGGTCAGGGTAAGGCCCAGCCCTGCTGACTCAGGCATCTTCCTTATGCAGGAATTTATTGCATTCATGATATTCCAATGAAAATACTTGAGAAGTTAATTAATCCAACTTTTGTAAATTTTTCTGCTGTTTAAATCCTCCACAACCGTGAAATAGGTCCACTGATGTCTGCAAAAGCAAACTCTATAACCTTTTAGAACTTCCAGACAGTCACCTTGAGTTTTAATGACAAAAAAAAAAAAAAAAAAAACAAGGCTTTAAAGCAACAGCTTCAGAAAGGATGCTTACAGGCTTGTCAGTGCCAACCTGAATTGCAATATCAGTGTGTGGCTTCCAACCCTTGTCTCCTCAGGTCTGAGCACACACTACTGAATCTAATAGTCAGCTGGAGCAATGTCTGGCAAACACCAGTGACTAAACAATAAGTCTCTCTCCCTCATTCCATGATGTTTTAGATCCCAGATAAACAGGGCACAGGACCAGAAAGCAGACTTGACCAGGGAAAGAGGTAGAGACGGGGCAGCAAGAACGTCCCGAGAGAGCTCTGGCAGCGCAGGTGAGCTGCAGCATTGCTGGGGCCCACACTGCACACACTGATGTAGAGAACCAGAGAGGGACGGCCCTGGGCTCCCAGCAGCTGGGGTGCTCAGGGTGGACACAGATCTCAGCCCATGCAGGAAGCATAAAGGGGATCATCAAACTCAGTGTGGAACAGCTGACAAACAAACATGGTCATATGGGGACCTGAGAGATGGATGTTCTCGGTGTCCTCACCCCCACCTCAGATCTCCACACACAAGCTGATCTCCACACACACCTACTCCCTTCCTACAGGGGAAGGAAGCACCTCAGCTCTGTCCTGGGCTGTGAAGGAAGTTTGTCACACAGGGGATTTCCAGCTCTCCCAGGCCTCTTCACACAGGCTTTTCACCTGGCAACAAAAGCGTCACCAGGAATCTTTTTCTGATTGGCTAAGATTACATTAGGAAGGCAGCGCCTTGGCCTTCTGTCAGCTTCTTCCACCTAGTCCAGCCTTCTTTAGAGTCCTCGACAGGCCTCATGTCCCTCCTGTGTCACTAAGGACAGTTACCCACTACTGTCCTGGCTTGAAGGGAAGGGAATCCCAAAACCTCATTCCACAGTGCCTTCTCTGAATCACACTGTAGGGCTCTGTGAAGACTGGACACTGTGAATGAGAACAGGGTAGACCCCACCTGACTGCATCACCTGGAATCAGTACTTGGTCAATGGGGCTAAATGTGAAGCTGGTAATCAATTTGTCACCAGAAGGCTCACTCAGGACACTGTTGTGTCCTCTTCAGGAATCAAGTATACCTGTGGAGTCCCATGGCTCCTAACATTATATAATATTATTACATAATATTAATATAACAGTAATGATGCTCCTGAGTTTTCCTTTAATAAAAGTATATCAAGCAACTGCTCCCAAGTTTTCCCTCATCTGTTTGAAGTTATTTACATATTTCCACTACTCAACTCTTGAGCAATGAGTTATATTAACTTCCATTATAAGTATAAAATATGTGTTTTATTATTGTGCAGAGTTTTTCTCTTTAAACAAAAGAATCAAATGGGCAGCAAAGTGTCCAGAAAATCCATTTCATCTCAGAAGAGTCAAATTTACTGACAGAAGAAATGCAAGACACAGTGTAATGGTAAAAGTAAAATGCTGTGGATCCCCAAATGGCTGCAGCGGACAGTGGGCCTTGAAACCACATGGTAGGTCCCCGAAGGGGCGGCAGGCACTGGGCAGCAACAGACACATGGAAAGGCATGCCATGCAGAGTGAGGTTGGATATTTATTTAGTGGGTTATGGAAGGGAAGGGGAGAAGGGGGAAGAGCAGAGAGAAAGAGACAGAAGGGGAAGGGGAGAAATGGGGAGAGACAGAAGCTGCCTCTTTGAGAGGGAGATGAAAAAGGAAAGGAATTAGAAGATATAAACAGAAATACCCAATCCAGGTGACAGGAAAATATACTGAAGAAAAAAGCCCCAAAGACCAGTAGGATTGAGACATAAGTTCTAACTTTCCTGTCACTGGAATTCTGGAAAGGAAATGAAGCTCAAAAGCCCTTGAGAAGATGATGGCTCAACATGCTCTGTAACTGTGTGACCCTGGAATGTCTCCAAAGGCTTGGTCTCCAGCCTGGTGCTCTCAGAAGATGGTGGGAGCATTAGTGAAATCCACTGGGAGCTTTTTAGACAGGGAGGAAGAATGGGCCCCACAGATTCTCAATCTTTTCTCTCCCTTCCTGGTGTGGGAAAATCATCTCTATTCTGTCAATTATATTTTAAATAAATGCTGATTGCCCAGTAGCCAGGCAGGAAGTATAGGTGGGACAACCAGATAGGAAGTAGAGGTGAGTCAAGGAGAGCAGGAGAATTCTGGGGGAAAGGAAGCCCTTTCCTCTGCAGTTGTGAGCCTGCCACAGAAGAAGCAAGATGTGGCCTGCCCTGCTAAAAAAGGTACGAGCCATGTGGCTAGCATAGGCAAGCATAATGGGCTAATATAAGAGTTAATAAGAAGCCTGAGCTAATGGGCCAATCAGTTTATAGTTAATGTAGACCTCTGTGAGATTTCTTTGGGACTTAACAACTGTGGAAATGGGACAGGACAGACACCCAGACAACACCTTCCCCTCCCTTCCCCTCCTCTTCTCTCTGCTCCTCTCCTCTCCTTACTCAGCTATGAGGTAGACAGACTTCCCCTGCCATGCACTCACACCTGATGCCTTGTCCCACCACACATCCAAAGCCACAGGAACTGCTCAAGGACTGAAACCACCAACAGTCTAAGCCAAAAGAACCTTTGTCTCTATGTACTCTGTCGATGGAGCTGCAGGCCGCCTCCCTGCCACCTAGCTCCCAGCCGCCTGGCTAGCTTATGCCCTGAAGTAACAACACACAAACTATATTCTTTTAAACACTGCTTGACCCATTAGCTCTAGCCTCTTATTGGCTAATTCTCACATCTTGATTAACCCATTTCTAATAATCTGTGTAGCACCACGATGTGGTGGCTTACTGGGAAAGATTCAGCATGTCTGACCTGGCAGCTGGCTCCATAGCAGCTGCCCTGGAGAGGAGAGGCATGGTGTCTGGCTCACTTCCCTTCTTCCCAGCATTCTGTTCTTTCTACTCCACCCACTTATGTTCTGACCTATCAGGCCAAGCAGTTTCTTTATTAATTAACCAATGAAAGCAACACATTGACAGATGACCCACCTACATCAGTACTCATATTTGTTATAGTAATGGAAATTGACTAACACACATCCCCCAAATATACCCAAAACATAAGCCAACTTATTCACCAAGAACTAAACCAAATAATTTAATCACAAAATTGATGGAAAGACACATAATAAGCAAACCTATGAAAACTAAATTAAAACTTAAAAGCCAAAAAATAGCAAAAGAAAAGATATGTTACCTATGTTGAGAAAAATAATTCAAATGTCAGTGGATTTCTTATTGAAGCCAGAATGAAACAGCACCATGGCTTCAAGTGCTGAAAGAAACAAACTGAGAACTCAAAACAATTCTGGAATGTAGTTGTCCTTCCAAAATGAGCTGTGAGAACTTGTTACAACCAGCTCTGCTTACTACAAAAGGATGGCAAAAGGAACTTACCCAAGCATCTGTAAAAGGTTGCAGGGGACTTTCAAAATATTTGAAATATGGCCTGGAGTGATGACTTCGTGCTTAAGAGCACATACTGCTGTCACACTAGACCATCACCCATATCAGCTGACTCAAAGCTGCCTCTGGCTTCAACTCCAGGGAAACCAATGCTGTCTTTTGACCTCCTAGGGCATCCTTGTGCATGTGCGGGCAGAATAGAGCTAGCTGGGAAAACTAAACTGAGCAGGGCAGAGTCAGGCAGATGTCATGTAGCTGCCAAAGGAGAAAGACGTCAGAAACTTACTGGTAGGTCACAGCCTTGTGGTGATATACATATTAATAGAAATGGGTTAATTTACGATGCAAGAGCTAGCTAGAAATATCCCTAAGCTATTGGTCAAACAGTGTTGTAATTTCTATAATTTCTGTGTGATTATTTAAGTATGGGAATCTGGGGGATGAAGAAACAGTCTCTTTTTACACCAAGCCCAGAGTCTCTCTTCCTGCAACCTTCAAATCTAGATGTAGAACTCTCAGCTACTTCTCTAGCATCTTTCCTGTCTGTGTGCAGCCATGCTTCCTACCATGATGACAATGGATTAAACCTTGGAAAGCCAACTCCATTAAATGTTTTCCTTTATAAGAGTTGCCATGGTCATGGTGTCTCTTTACAGAAATAGAACACTGACTAAGGGTAAGGTATACAAAAGGAGGTAAGGTTTCCTACTTGAGTGAAACTGGCAAAATGTGAGCACCAGTAAATTCTCAAAAATTACAGC